GTAAGATTAAGGTTGACTATTGAACAGTGTATATTTTAAAGTAAAGGCTTTAAGTAAACGCTGAAAGTACTAACATCGCTAATGTCACATAACTCTGCCGACATGTGGCCAACAGTAATGTTTTGATGTTCTTCATTATTCAACATTTACACAATACGTGACATATTGTTCAGTACTTACTTTTAAAAGTTTACTCTTCAGCTACCCCGCTTCCACCGTTTTTTTCGGCAAAATAATGCACACCCACCATCGCACTATGAAGTCTGGGATATGTTGGGCCAAGAAGTCTACACCGCCACATCCTTTAAATTCAGGGAAATGAAGGATGCATTTAAGGGGCCGCATTTCGAGCAGGCTTTGAATTGGGACAGCCTTCGTCACGTCGCTGTAACGTAATCGGCCTTAAAATGCGGCCTTTAAGGCTGCAGACCCTAAATTGGGATACAGCCTGTGTCTGCTCTCTCCTGATGGTCACTTCTAAATGCCATGAGCTGCTTCACTTCTTACCTACGAGCATGTCCAGATATTTAGCTGGACTTGTGCTGCAGCGATTGTGAAGTGGAGACTGCAGCTGCTGAGAGTGCACTACTGCTGAACCTTTGGATGGCCGACAAAATGGATCTTCCAGTGTTTTCAGCTAAAGCACTGGACGTGCTGGTAGGCAGCTCATGGTGTTTAGAAGTGACCATCAGGGGAGATCAGACACAATCTGACCACTACCGGCACACTTTTGCACCGGAGGGTTTTCGTAAAGCTTTTGTTTTGATATTTTCCATTGAATTTGCATGTTAGCTAAATATTTAATTTTCCTGTAACATTTAATTTAATTTGATTTAACATTTGACATTTAGATTGAAATATAATATTTAGATTTAATATTTAGATTCAATATTTAAAATTGTGTTTTAAACATGTAAAGTTACAAATATTTTACGAAATGTTGTAAAAAATTACTCAAAAAACATGTTTTTGTAAGGTCTTGAGCTAAATGTGAAAAAATGTTACCGTTAATTTTTGCATGTTTCACTTTACGAATGGTGCCCCATATTAGTTGGCATTACAACTGTGGTACACTCATTATGTTTACATATATAATGCCTACAACAAGATCACAATTTCCTCTTGTTTAGATAAAGGATATCTTCTTCTTCCTCTTCTTCCTGGGTGTGTGGCTCATGGCGTATGGAGTTGCCAATCAGGCTCTGATCTACGCCTATGATCCAAACCCGAATCGCATTTTTCGGAGAGTTTTCTACAGGCCATACTTGCACATCTTTGGACAGATCCCCGTGGAAGAGATGGATGGTACAAGTGTTTGTGCAACTGGCATAAAAATAAGAAAATCTGTGTTAAAGCTGAAATTTCTTTTAAAATGCTGCAGTTTCCTGGAACCTACTTTCATCACAGAAATTTGAAATTGAGTGTTATTATCATTTTAACCATTTCTTAAATTTCTTACCTTTCCAATTTATTGCAGTGGGCAAGGACTGGGATGTTCCTTGTACACACAATGTGACTTTGATTGAGAGCGGTGAAGAGCCGTGTAGAAGTCACGAGAGTAACTGGCTGGTAGTGATTCTGCTAGTCGTATATCTCCTGGTCACCAACATCCTGCTCATCAACCTGCTTATTGCCATGTTTAGGTAAAGAACCAGTCTTTTATTATATCTGAGGATACATTCACATACTGAATGGCTTGACTTGACTCAGTGGCTCTGATCTGCTTGTATCTACACAGCTACACTTTCTCTAAAGTGCAGGAACACAGTGACACCTACTGGAAGTTCCAGCGTTACAACCTGATTGTTGAGTACCACTCCCGTCCTTCTTTGGCTCCGCCTTTCATTATCCTCTCACACATCAACCTTTTCATCAAGAGGGTCATCCGCAAAGTGCCCTCTGTAAAGATTCACCACTTTGGTCAGTATTGGATCAGGGGTGTTACTCTAATAAGTAATTGTTACTTAACTCTAAAAAAATCAAATGCTGAGTGAGGAATCCACACATGATTAGAATTAGGTAATTTCTTAAATGTCTTCTAAATTTTATTTGGTAATTGTGGGTTTTGGTTAAACAGTGCCAGCCCTGTTATCACTCAGTTACTAACTGAAAATGGCAGTGCCAAGTGCCATGCTTTTTGTTTACTTGCTCACTGACCTCAGTTTAGCAGTGATGAAAGCATGAAAACTGAATTGAAAAGTAATCATTTCAACTCTTGGTCTTTTCTATTAGTGTTAGACTTGGAACCAAAGGCAGCTAACAGATTATCAACGTGGGAAACGATTCAGAAGGAAGACTTCCTGACTGCTCGAATCAAGATCCAGAAAAGCAGCGACTCAGAAAGGCTCAAACGGATGTCTGCCAAGTGAGCACACCTTCATCCTCCACTGTAGCAGCATTATTTATTACTGTGTGACTCCATCATACTGAAGTAAATGTATCTTTGTTTATATAGGGTAGATGGTGTGCTTAAACATCTGAGTGAAAGCAGAGACTTTGAACACAGGCTACGGTCTCTGGAGAATCAGGTAAAATTGAAGCTCCAACTTATCATTTTGTACCCTTTAATTCATTCATAATACATATGTGGAGCTGCTGTGAAAGGGCATGTCTGCAGAGTTAAACTATTCTATATAAAGGTTAAAGCACTTCATAGCAGGTGGCAGTTGGCAAATTACATTAAGAGGAAGTTGAAACATAGGGAAAATACCTACTGTACAGCAAAAAGACAGTTTCAGGTTGGATAATGTGAAGTTGTTTCCTGGCTGATGTAAGAGTTATTTTGTGTGATGGTAAGTAATTCTTTAGTAAGTACTTTCATGGTTTGGATAATGTCACACGAAAGAAACAGATGCAGAACTTAAACTAACCAACTTAGTGCAATCAGTGGTATAAATGAGTGCATGTGCAAAGAAATTGTGTAGGCAATACTATCTAGCGCAGAAAAGAAAACCAATTTCTAAATGTGTCTGAGAGAAGAGAGCCATTCAAGAACTGAACTAAGGGGTTTTATGTAGCACTGGCAAACAGGGGCCAGGCTTTGCCACTGTCACTGCTTGGAAACAGGCCACAATAGCTTCTCCAATGCCTACAGATGAGACCACATAACAGGTTGAAAGGAAAGGATGGGATGAGTTGTCAGAGATAGGAAAAAAATAGCTTTTTTCAAGTGGTTTTTCTTGAGGTTTAAAAATGGCTATTCTCTCAGATACAGCTTTATGTTATTCTGCTCTTTATTTCCAGATGGATTATTGCTCCAGTGCACTCAGCTGGGTTGTGGATACTTTAGCACAAGGAAGCACATTCAAACCTCCTCGCCCCCCACCTGCATCACGAGGTACTTATGATTACAAAACGACCTGCAATATTCCAATATTGCTTTCAATACAAACTCAGCTATCCTAATCTTATTTTAAAAATATTTATATTACATTTTTTTGTGCTAAAATTGGTCCCTCTCACTTTTATTATTCTATCTGTTCTTCTACACAGACGTGGTACCCTCCCCTTCCAGCTCAACTTGATTAAATGACGCTTTAAATCAAGGAGAACACCTTCACTCATGTTCTGTTGACAACTTCTGTTGCAGTCTGCCACCATGAGCCTCACTGAACTGTTACCAATGCTTATAAAAGCAAAAAAAAAAAGTATTTAGCCTATGCCATGTATTATATATATATATATGTATATATCTGTGTATATATGTATGTATATATATATATATATATATATGTAGAGAGACAACACAGACAATACCTGTGAAAACAAGAAGAGCCAGGTGGGTCAGCTTTCCTTAAAATTAGTGATGGGATTTCTGGCTCTTTTTAGAGATATAGATAGATAGATACTCCTGGAATTTTAAAAAGTATTCTGATGTAATCTGTAGAGTTACATTATGAGCATCACAATACTTTTATTCAGTTCAGTTACACTTTAAATATATGAGTTGTATTGGTATGTTTGCATTCTTGTTCTTTAAATATAACGTTTTCATACCTAATAATAAATAAATGTTTACTAGAAATACAAAATAATAACCCTATTTTAACAATTTTTAAGCATTTAATTACTAATAATAACTAGCCTGGCTGCAGGTGTATCATTGGATGTCAGTAGCAGTTGCTAAAAGGCAGGGTTTGTTTCTTTTGGACACAGACAGGGTTGCTGTGTACTTCTATTTGTAGCAGGACCCAGTAGCTAACCTAGTTAGCTACTGGGTCCTGCTATACATTTACAGTTATGTGAAAGGGACAATGCACACTCTTTTTACCTATCAGCACATGACACATCCCCAATTTCAAAAAAGTGTATAAAGTGTAAATAAGCAATGCAATGATTTGATGTCTTGGTTAGTTATAGACCAGTGTCCAATCTCCTTCTTATCTGAAGCATTCTTGAAATAGTGGTAAAACAGCTACAGCAAGTAATCATTTGCCGGGCAATTATAAATATGAAGTTTAACTTGGGTTTCAAAATTCGTCACAATACAGAAAAGGCATTGGTGAATGTGTTGATATGTAGATGTTAATGTAATGATAAGGTTTACCAGCAGGGGGCACTGTATTTAAGAAAGCTCATGAATGCCTCCAGGGGAGCACATAAAAGAAGACTGGTCTTTTAATAAAATGTTTGGGGCGCTAGCTCGCAAGAGATAAGTGGATGCTGTGTTATTTTTAACAAGCGCTACGAAGACAACACAGTGAAGGATAAAAATCATCTGGCTTTTTCAGTGAGCACAGCGCAGACACATAGGCTCTCTACAGAATGCATTGTATTTTTGAGCTCCAGTAACATTCAGAGAACACAAGCTTCAGTGGTTTTTAAATGTGTTACTGAAGGTCCCTTTCACCCCATCAGATACCACTGAGTGATAAGGGGATGAGGAAGTATTGCAAAAAATATTGCAGCTCAGACTCAGACCCAGCTCAGACTCCAAGGCTGTGGAGTTTGTTCTACTGACTGGCTCTTCCTGTTTTCATAGTTAGGAGGGAATATATCTGTGTAGCCACACCCTTACCTGTGTGCTGGCTGCACCTAGTTTTCTTTGTGCACACTGAGAGACGGCAGAGGCAGGGGATAGGGTTTCAATAGTGGGGCAATAGTCAGAAAGAAAATGTTTTAGTTCTTCTGCACAAATTTCTCACTGAGAATGACAGAACAGGAAACATGAAAAACACAGGACCAGAAGAAGGAGGTAGAGAAGGGGGAGGAGGCGACAACACAGACAATACCTGTGAAAACAAGAAGAGCCAGGTGGGTCAGCTTTCCTTAAAATTAGTGATGGGATTTCTGGCTCTTTTTAGAGATCCGGCTCTTTCGTCTCGGATCACTAAAAAGAGCCGGCTCTTTCGGCTCCGAACCGGTTCTTCAGGTTGTTTTGTTGCTTTAATTATTTAATCATTAACAATAATATAAAATTATGCAGAAAAGGAATTACTAATGTAAAAAAAAGTGGTTTTATTTATAGATGTTTATATAGCCCCTAGAGACAAAGCACGTACAAACTCTAAAGCATATACAAACTCCAAAAAGCACGTACAAACTCCAAAACACATTTCTAGCGTTTACTGAACTTCCAAAACAGAGCTACCCAGATCACTTAAATTACACAATTGAAAGCATGTGTATATTGTTACATAAGATAAGCA